AAAAAAGAAAGAAAACCTTAGACTCCTTTTTATTGTCAACATGAGGAAGAGTGCTTCTGAGAACTTTGCAAATTCCCCAAACCTAAGGCAAGTTTCTCCGGAGTCCTTTTAAATCTCTGCTTCAAGATTTTCAAAAACAGTTGTTAATTATGTCTCGATCAACTCACACACGATTAGCTATTTATAAAGAAGCTTTCTTCAAATGTTTCATTTAAGATGAGCAAAGCTCACATTTATATACTGAACGGGGCTTCAGAAGCATACCAGGAACTACCTTTATTTTGATTTCAAGGAAAACAGACACGTGTGCGTCCCTGTTCTGCCCCACTGAGCTGCTTCATTTCTAGGGCAGGGTCTGAACTGGGTCAGTCCCGTGCTGATCAAACACTGCTGCCCAAGGGGACCTGGTGCCCACTTGTCAGCAACTCTGAGCAGGAGCTTCAGGGCAACTTCCACAGCACAAGTGAGAGCCTGGGCACTCAACCACCATGGCCCAGAGGCAACAGAACAATCCTGGAGCCAACCCCTTTGGCCCCTCAGATTCATGTTCATCGTTCATCGACCACCCAGGTAGCAGAGATATCACTCTCCTAAACACTTCCTCATGGGGCCCTAACACATACGGATCTACCCCTCACAGGGCAAATGTAGAGGACTTGGAAAGTCCTCGACTCTTCAAACTCCAATAATTCTGCCATAAGCGTACAGCACGCATTGTCCCCAAGATACGGTAAGTTACCCATAAGAGAGAACAGATACCCCAGGAGGGTCTAAGGGGCCCCATTCCTGGTTACTGCCAAAAGATAAGAACCACCAGCTCCAAAAGACACCCACATATGCCTGAAACACCATCCCACCCCCAGTCACCAAGATGGCTTTGTCCACCCTCAAGACGATGGGGACAGTCAAGGGCAAAGCCCAAACAGACGGTAAGAATGGCCTCCCCCCCAAGTCAGCGGTGCCGCAGGCAAACGCTCAGGAAAGCGACCTCTGTCCTACGCTAAGCAGAGCTGTCCAGAGCCGGCTGTGTACAGCTCTGAAAGGGTTTTTTTGCTTCACAAATGTCACTGTTACCCAAGTATATCAAAAGGAAAACTCTAAGGCCTCTGGCCTAAGCCAGCCCTGCGCCCAGGCCCCCTCCCTCTGCAGGCAGCTGTGCCCGCTGCCCCCACAGCTGTGGGACACGTCCCCGGTGTCCACGGCCCACCTGGACAACCTCGGCAGCTTTCCCACTCACACAACCAGAGTCAGCCACCACACCAGACTCCGCGGTGGCCAACAACATGTCCAAGTTTGGTACAGTTCTGATGAGAGTAAAGTGTCGCTAGACTTCACTCCATCTACAGCAACGTGATGCTTGAAAACCAGAGAAAAACGTACTGTACCTGGGGTAGCGTCGGCATGACGGATGCGCCGTGACAGCGGTGTGCCCCATTCATCCCTGTCAGTCCCACAGTGCTTCACGGAATGCCAGCCCTGCTTTCTAGCTCCAAGGAAAGGCCAGGGTGCCGTCAAGTAACAAAATCTCAACTTCCAAACACACCCCTCATGCCACAGCATGGCTGCAAGCTGGCCCGTAACTTCAGTGCTGGGCTCTCCACCTGCCACCGTCCGGCTCAGGGTCAGCCCTCCTGGAACCCAACCTGGCCCCAACGGCATAGGAAGCCTCGCCTGGGCTCAAATACCTGCACCCATCCTGGGTGGGAGCCCATGCCCTAGCCGCTGTTCCCTACAAGCTGGGATAGTAACATCGAGCTTTTAACATCTGAAGTAAGGAGCAAGCCCACGTTCCCAGGCCAAGGCATCCACCGTGAGGAAACGCTGCTCCAGCCTAGAATGAAATCCTTCACTCGGCCAAACCTCAGAGTGACAGGAGAGCATTCTCTGCAAAGGCAGGACAAACTGATGTATGCTGAAGATGCTAATCCGGCAGGCCAAAAGATCACCTTCAGAAACGAGCATCTGTAACGTAGCATCTATCTGAAAAGATCTTTTAAAACCGTTTACGCACATGCTAATTTTGGTGTCATATCACTTTTTCTCTTTGTTCAACTATAATCATAACCTTACTTCGCTGTTATGACTTTGAAGCTATATGAAACTAGTGCTTTCGAGAGTTCTTGGGACAACTGCCTTTGCAGCAAAAATCTCTTCTCCGTGTTTGCCATTACCATAGTGGAAAAAATTTAGACTCTGCTGCCTTCAAACGAGCAAATTAATTACAGGAACATAAAGGCTTCTTTACAAAACTGTCCTGACAAAGAATATCAAGATGGAATTTGCTAAAACCAAAGTCCACATGGGCTCCCAGTGAGCAGTGAGAATGGAGCGTGAAGGCCCAGGGCTGGCATTAGGCCCTGGTGAGACCTCCGTCCCTCCTCTCCCCACCTGGAGCTGCAGGAAGGGGAGGTGCGGAGGGGCAAGCCTCTTTCACACACACTCCAACCTCCAGCAGTCCGTGAGCTCACCTGACACCCGTGTGCAGCCTGGAACGCCCCGCCATGCCCACCCCGAACCCCTTCCCAAGTGTTTGCGGCTCTGAGTTGTAACGAGAATGAGCTATTAGCCAAGCAGTTATTTTTATAAGTCACTGCTACCTCCTCTTTATACGTTTTTATGATGAAAGATTCCAACGAAGAGGAAACATCAAGTAGGAGAGTTTAATACTCCCTGATTAATTCTTTAACTAGAGTATTCATAACTTATCATTTCGGTTTACAGAATGACACTATCTAAAAGAACTTTATCTCGGGGTAGTACTTTTTACTTTTTTTTCTTCTGCTGTTATAAAAATGAGGTGATATAACTAATCAGAGTTCCCGATTAGTGGAGGTCGGGGGGTGGGGACCAATGAAGAGATGGATATAAATCTTTTCTGTTCTAGAGGACATCCGTCACCCAAATGTCAACATGGGCTGCTCTCTGCTCTTAAATATGGGGGACTTAACGCAAACACTCGTGGACAACTCTTGCAAAGAGTCGCTATGTTCACAGCTTTTTTTCAAGGAGTTGTCTCCTTGTCACACGAAGACACCTCTAATGGTGACATTAGAACAGAAGACGAAAGTGAGTCTCCAGGGTCACCCATGACAAAGATGGCAGATATGCCCCTTTCCAACCACGGCTTCCTCCCCCCAGCAGGAAGAAGGAGGGGGCTTCACCTGTACAAAGGCTCAGACCCAGGGGATCCAACCAACCCCAACCCGCCCCCTCTACAGGAACCGCTCAGGCCCTGCAAGCCAGGCCAGGCCAGGCCAGGCCAAGCGCCCGCCTCACCAACTACTGAGGAGCTCGCACCAGTTTTGAATAACAAAAGTACAGCTAGGGAATGGTCTATGCTCTGAGTAAGGCAAGTGCTGAACTGTGCGGGACCACCCAAAAGGCATTTTTGCAGCTAAGTAAAGAATATTTTGACATTTTACGTAATATCCTACAAACCTGAATTCCCTTTTTCAAAGGTTACTACAGATCAGCCCTACTCTCCACTGAACGATCAAAATACACATAAGGAGCAAAACAAAACTTTCAATAAAACATCACAACCTCAAAAAGAAACCAAACACGTCGTCAGGGGCATCTCAGCAGCTCTCTGGCAACTTGTTTGATGTCACCCTCTCCCCTCAGAGCGCGGCAACCCCCACCAGCACCCCCAGAACGCAGGCTGGGGTTGTCAGCTCTCCCCGCCCCTGCCCAGATCAAACACCCCCCCACCACCGCCCAGCAAGCATTACCACCGGTCCGCGCCCTGGCACGCTCCAACAGGGAAACCCCCTCCTCCTTAAGACGCTGAAATTCCATCAAGGTGACCACCGGCTCTTTTCCGAGCGCACACGCGGCCAACGGGAGGTGCTGTTTCTACTACTCCTGCCCCCGCGGCGCCTGTTACTCCACAGCAAGGAAGGAGCTCTCCAGAAGCTCAGCACTAGCGGTCCACACAGAGGAGATGGACAGGATGGAAGAGAGCACGGGGCACCGCGACTGTGGAGGCTTCTCTCTGCTTGGGAATCCCAAACAAGCAGCGTGACCTGGGATGCTGCGGGGGCCTTTCGCCGTCAGACCCGAGGAACCCTGACCAACCGCCGGAGTGACACAGGAGACAGAGAACCTGCACGGGCTGTGGAGCCCATGGCTCCGCGTTACCAGGCGTCGCCTGTACCTCTGAGAGACCCACTGATTTCACTGGAGGATACTAAGCAAAGCAGCTGGGCACCCTGTAACCAGAACGCTGTGCTGCAGGCCACAGTGGTCGCAGGAAGTGCATAGCACAGCGCTGAGGCGAGGACGTGGCCCAGGAAGGGTGTGTGCCCAAGGATCCCTCCAGGGCTCACCTGGGATCTCTGCCATCCCGGTGTTAGCAGGGAAGCGAAAGCTTTCCATGCGGACTTGCCCAGCCACAAGGAAGGAGTGTCACTACTCTGCCTGACCTCACCAGTGGGGGGGGGGGGGCGGGTAACTAGTCCTCCATCACAGCCCGGGAGAGGAGAGGAGCAGCAAAGTTCAGTGAGGACACAGGCCATAACACAACTGGTCCCAAAAAACCAGGAGGCGGAGCACCAAGTGCAGAAAAGCATGGACCCAGGCTATACAACCTACCAAGCTGTTCCCCTGGAGGCCTGCTGCCAAGGCTCTCCACCGAGGGGAGGGGGGCGGGGGAGGGGAGGAGCGGGCAGGGGCACACACCGCCAGGAAAGGAGCTGCTCCACTGTGGGAGCCCAGAAACTTTGCAATGCAAAGAGCGAGCTGAAGCCAAGTGCTGCCCAAGGAAAGGGACCCCTGCAGCCACAGCACCCCCCCGGCCGTGCGCGCGCGCGCACACGCACACACACTCCCGCACACACACACTCTCACACGGAGGAGAGCCTTCCCGCACCCGGCAGGGGAGCGCCCCGGCTCCTTCGCTGCAGGCCCGCGCAAGACCCGTGACCTCAGCGCCCCGCCAGCCCCACAACTTCCTGCACTCCCGGCGGGGGCGGCCAGACCCGCCCGACGCGGCCACTCACCTGGGGGCAGCTGGAAGTTCTGGATGTTGGTCGGGTTCTGAGGCGGCTGCGGCAGGCGGGGGGCGAGGACCGTGGGCGTCAGCGTGGCCCGGATCCCGCCGGTGGTGGCCGAGGGCGTCCTGGGCAGGCTCTGGGGCCCCGCGCTGGCCGAGCCCTTGGGCAGCCCGGTGGGGGTGCCAGGGGCCGGCGGCGGCGGCGGCGGCGGCGGCGGCGGCAGTCCAGCGGCGGCGGCGGCGGGCAGCGCCCCTTGCATAGTTGGCCCGAGGATCATGCCGGCCCCCGCGCCGGCCGGGCAGCTGGCCGCCAGGGCCTGCGGCGGCGCGGGCGCCGGCTGCACCGCCGTCTTGGGCGAGTCGGCCTTGGCCACCTGCGCGGGCGCGGCGGCGGCGG